AATTTACAAGCTGATTTAAGAAATTGTATAACCCCAGACCAGTTAAACCACCTTTTCTTCTTCTTCTTCTTCTATTGTCGGAGGGTTCAGGACTTGCCGTGGTTAGTTATTGACAAACATGTTGATAAAACAAGAATATCAGTCTCTTTTAAAGTAATCATTTCGTAGGTTCTGTGGTCGATACAATGACCTTGTCAGCAAATACTTTAACCATGGCTGTAAAGTTTGAACGGTTGGTGCTAGGATTTTCATTTTTCACGTGTATTCATTGTGACAAGACCTTTCAACTGTTTAAAGTGTATAAATGTTTTGACCTTTTGCCTTTGACCTTGTAACAAAATCTTCCTTTGGATGCAAACAATTTTGACCTTCTGACCTTGGTCTTGGATTTTGACTTGCATTTGAGGCACTTTAACCCTCGCTATAAACAGTTAAAGAGGTGCATTCCTTGTGAAAAGGCCTTTTTGGGTACCACCAAATTTGACCTCTTGACCTTTGACCCACTTTAACAAAAAATTGCCAAACTTAAACCTTAGCCATATTTTATGAATAGTTAGTGAGAGGGCTTTCACACTATTATTAATACATGTGCATTCCTTGCAGAGACCTTTCTTTGGGTACCACAAAATTTGACCTTGACGAGGTTGACCCACTTGAAAATAAAAACAAGAGGCCCTTGAACCTTATAGGTCACCTGAGCATCATGCAAGGACTTTCCAAAGATTGAATTTGGTTCATGTTTTAAACTTAATGTCATGACATTCACAATATAATCAATGGAGCCCCGCCTTAAAACCAGAACCTGATCCTGTGGTCATAAAATTCACAATTTTGAAAGTGGCATTCTTGCTCATCTTAACTATGTACTTATATAACTATGTACAATACCCAGGAGCAGAGAAGATTTTCAAAGACCGGGGGTCATGATTTGAACAATTTAGAATCTACACTATTCAAGGATGCTTCCACATAAGTTTCAGCTTTTCTCGCCCATTAGTTTTCGAGAAGATTTTTAAAGATTTTTCCCATATTTTTAGGTCACCTGAGTAAACTCAGGTGACCTATTGCTATCTGTTTTCGTCCGTCGTCATCCGTCGTCATTTCGTCGTGTGTTAACATTTGAACATTTTCAGCTTCTTCTCTGAAACCACTGAACCAATTTCAACCAAATTTGGCATATAGTATCTGTGGGTAAAGGGGAACAAAAATTATGAATTTCATGGTCCCTGCCCCCCTGGGGCCTGGGGGATGGGGCAAAAACAACTAAAATTAGTGCAATCTTTAAAAATCTTCCTCTTTACTCCTGGACATCAAGCAGTCAAACTGTTGGTATGATTGTAATCAGCATTGAGTCCTCTACCAAAATTGTGAAATTCATGGCCCCAGGGTCAGGGGTTCTAGTGCTAGGGCGGGACTAAACAGGTTATATAGTGAAAATGCATTAATTCTTTGAAATTCTTCTTTTCTGCTCCTGGGCATTAAATAAACTAACCAAGTGCATAGGTACGTTGAAAATGACCGCCTTTCCCAAAATTGTGAATTTCATGGCCCCAGGGTCAGGGGTTCTAGTGCTAGGGCGGGGCTATATAGATTATATAGTGAAAATGCACAAATTCTTTGAAATTCTTCTTTTCTGTTTGTGGGCATTAAATAAACTAACTAAGTGCATAGTTATGTTGAATAAGACTGCCTCTTCTCAAATTATGAATTGAATGGCCCCAGGATCAGGGGTTCTAGTGGTAGGTTGGGCTATATAGATTATATAGTGAAAATGCAAAAATTCTTTGAAATTCTTCTTCTCTGCGCATGGGCATTAAATAAACTAACCAAGTGCATAGCTATGTTGAATAAGGCTGCCTCTTCCAAAGTTGTGAATTTCATGTCCCCAGGGTCAGGGGTTCTAGTGCTAGGGCGGGGCTATATAGATTATATAGTAAAAAATGAATTATTTCTTTGAAAAATTTCTTCTTTGCTCCTGAGTATTAAATAAACTAACCAAGTACATAGTTATGTTAAATAAGGCTACCTCTTCTAAAATTGTGAATTTCATGGCCCCTGGGTTGGGGGTTCTGGTGTTAGGGCGGGGCTTTATTGATTATATAGTGAAAATGCATAAATTCTCTAAAACTCTTCTTTTCTGCACCTGAGTATTTAACCAATGAGCTATGATCATAGTTATGAGGAGGAAGGATGCCTCTTTGAGATTTTTGAATTTCAGGGTCCCTCGGTTAGGGCTTCTTGTGTTAGGGTGGGGCTCTAATGTTTATATAGTGAAGATGCATGAATCCTTTGAAAATCTTTTCCTTTTTTGTTGGGTATAATGCCAAATGCTTTTAGTATATATTTGTGACAAAAAAACTTGCTTCTTCCAAAAATGGTTAATATCCTGGCCCCTGGGACAGATGTACTTTGAGGGGGGGGGGGGGGGGGTTAACATAGTCTGAAATAATTTAATGCTTTGAAATCTGCACTTTGGTATTAATTAACAGCATGATGAAATTAGATTTTAAAAAATTTCCAAAATTTTGAAAGATATGGCCCCAGGGTCAGTGGTTCCTGTGGGATGGGGAGCTCCACTTTGGACCCGCCCTAACACAAGAAGCCCTGACCCAGGGGCCCTGAAATTCACTAAAAGTGGAAATGCATTTTCTTTTTGTTACTCTGATCTACCTCTGGGTAATAAACATGCTGAGTGTATACATGTAATTATGATAAGCAATGGTGTCCCTTTCAAAATTGTGAATTTCATGGCCTCTAGTTTAAAACATGAATCAAATTCAATTGTTGGAAAGTTGTGGCATGATACTCAGGTGACCTATAAGGCCCATGGGCCTCTTGTTTTATGTAAAACTTTGATTCCCTATTCAGTATTGTGGCCCCGCCCAACCCCCAGGGGTCATGATTTGAACAATTTAGAATCTACACTACCCAAGGATGCTTCCATATAAGTTTCAGCTTTCTTGACCCAGTGATTTTTGAGAAGAAGATTTTTAAAGAGTTTTCCTATATATTTCTTTTTAAAACATTGATTCCCTATTGTGGCCCCGCCCAACCCCCAGAGGTCATGATTTGAACAATTTAGAATCTACACTATTCAAGGATGCTTCCACATAAGTTTCAGCTTTTCTGGCCCAGTAGTTTTTGAGAAGAAGATTTTTAAAGAGTTTTCCTACATTTTTCTATGTAAAACTTTGATTCTCTATTGTGGCCCGCCCAACCCCTGGGGGTCATGATTTGAAAATTTAGAATCTACATTATCCCAGGTTGCTTCCACATAAGTTTCAGCTTTTCTAGCCCAGTGGCTTTTGAGAAGATTTTTTAATGACCCCACCCTATTTTTGTCTTTTCTTGATTATCTCCCCTTGGGAGAGGACTTGGCCCTTCATTTTAAAAATTTAAATTCCCCTTAACCCAAGGATGCTTTGTACCAAGTTGATCAAAATTGGCTCAGTGGTTCTTGAGAAGAAGTCGAAAATGTGAAAAGTTTACAGATGGACAGACAGCTAGACGGTCGGACAAAATGTGATCAGAAAAGCTCACTTGAGCTAATAAAGCCCCGCCCTAACACCAGAACCCTGGAGTTATAAAATTCAAAATTTTGGAAGAGGCATTCTTGCTCATCATAACTATGTACTTACTTAGTTCATTTATAGCTGCAGAACTGTAGCTCTCCGAAAAAATATATTATCTGTCAATATATTTTTTCGGAGAGCTAGTTCTGCAGCTAATAATCATTAGAACCCCACCGTAACATCAGAACCACTGACACTGGGGCCATAAATTTATAACTCTGGAAGAGACATGCTTGCTCATCATAACTATATGTACTTAGTCTTAGTGTAAATAATACCCAGGAGCAGAGAAGACGATTTTCAAAGAAATAAGGCATTTTCACAATATAATCTATATAGCCCCGTCCCCGACCAGAACCCTGGGGCCATGAAATTCACAATTCTGGATGAGGCATTCTTGCTCATCAGGGGGACCAGGGACCATGAAATTCACAAATGTTCCCCTTTATCCATAGATGCTGTATACCAGATTTGGTTGAAATTGGTTCAGTGGTTCTAGAGAAGCTAAAAAAGTTCACAAGTTTACAACCGACGTACGGACGAAAACAGATAGCAAGAGGTCACCAGAGTGACTCAGGTGAATTAAAAAACTTGAACAATTAGTACTTGGGCTTTCATATTTCACAGGTTTATTTCTTATTACAAGACCTTCCTTTGGGTACCAACAATTTTGACCTTGATGTTTGAAGTGCATTTGAGATATTTCAACCTCACCATAAGCTGCAGTGTTTCAAAACAATTTTATTGTATTTATATGAATCAATCAAGTTTTCCAATTTTTGTGTTTTTTAAGACACATTTTGTACTTTTTACCTTCAAACTTCTAAATGTTTCCAAGGCATGTTCATAACAAAAACCTGATTTATTAGCAAGCGGTTACGCATGTTTAGATTACACCGTTTTGCAAATAAGGGTTTCTCTATACCCTTACTGTGACTATAGTGTAAGTGAACATCTCTATGTAACTTGCATTCAAAATCCAAGAATTATATTTTTATTTTATATTTTATTCCATAACAAATGTCTTGTGATAAGTACTCTATCAATACCATGTAATACATACTTCTTTAATTTGGCAGTGTAAGTGTCAGTGATACACACATATCGAAACAGAATAAATAAAACAAAGTACACTTCAAAACATTCTTTTTAGACTTTTGAACGGAAGACAATTTGATCTTAATATCAGTCATTGAACACAGCATTGGTGGAAACAAAAATAATTACGCTTCAAAAAATACAAAATCTACTGAACTTTAATAAGAATGTCTTCTATCATTAATATCAGTCACTGAACACAGCATTAGTGGGAATAAAAATAATTACGCTTCAAAAAATACAAAATCTACTGAACTTTAATAAGAATGCCTTATATCATTAATATCAGTCACTGAACACAGCATTGGTGGGAAAAATAATTACGCTTCAATTATCAAAAAATACAAAATCTACTGAACTGTAATAAGAATGTCTTCTATCATTACACAGCCATTTCCATGGCTATTTTAGGGTGAGGATTATACCCTACAATCTCAAAGTCCTCGAACTTAAAATCATCAATGTCTTCTACCTGTCTCTTGATCATTAACTTGGGAAAGGGTCTGGGTTTCCTCTGAAGCTGAACTTTTAATGGCTCCAGGTGATTGACATACACATGGGCGTCACCCAAGGTGTGGACGAAATCGCCAGGCTTAAGTCCTGTGATGTGGGCAATCATGTAGGTCAGTAAGGAGTAGCTGGCAATGTTAAACGGTACGCCCAGACCGATGTCGCCCGATCGCTGGTACAGCTGGCAGGAGAGCTCACCATTACACACGTAGAACTGGACGAAGGCATGGCAGGGAGGGAGAGCCATCTTATTTAGGTCACATGGGTTCCAGGCTGACATAATGATCCGTCTATCATCTGGGTTGTTCTTTATTTTATCAATTACCTCTTTCAGTTGGTCCACTCCTTGACCTAGGGGATAAAATTTGTTTTATTGAGAACTGACTTGAATACAAGTATATAAGACTGTTATCTTAATTTTATAGCCACCCAATATAACATCAGCATTTTCTGCCCATTGGACAACTTCAAAATAAAATTTAAGCTTTTAAATTTTGCCTACAGTTTATTGCAAGCAAAATATCATAAATTTGATTCTTTAAGGCCATAATTAAAATATTCCTAGATTCTCATCCCCGCCTGCCCCGATTTTATAACCCCGCCTAGATTTTTTTTTTATTTCTGTTTTTCTTTGTCTTAATTCTGATTGGGATCGGTATTCATCTACCATTCTACTTTCATTTTAAATCTCGCGAAAGTCGACATGATTTTGAGTGCTGAAAAGATGGTACATGTAATTGCTGTAATACATGCGTATATATTTTAAACAAGGGTCATTGGTTGAAAAAGATTGGTGATGATGTGAAGTAAGAGATAATTGAACCTTTGGGCCATCCTTAAAAAATTGTTTTTTTGCGGTAACGCGACCGACTCACCAAAATCCACCCGACTGGATTTTTTTTATCGGTTCAAAAAATCTTTTTTTTTTTTTTACGTATTCATTTTCCGTTTTTATCCGATTGATTTCTTTTTACGTCTCGGTTACACCGACGCTTTATCTTTCCCCCAAGTACTATTAAAACGTCTTTGTGATCTACAAATTTAGAGATGGCGTCCGAGAAGGTTGCGGGAAATATTCATTATATTGACTCTGTAGTTCTGTCAGTTACAGTAAATTTATCTTAATTACTAGGCAAAAAAAAATATTGTGCGTCAGTTCCACCTTACAAATACATGGTATGATGTTTACGAGATCGCCACAAAATTGGTGGCAGACAAAATTCCATGTGGGATGATGGCGGATTTGCAGCTAATTAATAAACTATCAAAATCTTAAACCTCGTAAATATCACACCCCCAAAACACTAGAATAATGTGGAGTCAGTTATTTGAGGTACGTGGCTGATGAGAGTCACTTTCTTAGAAAAAGTTTGCCTAAAAAGAACTGATGTGTTCTGATATTTGAGCAATAAAAGATTGAATTCATTTAGAATGCTTTAATTTTCCTGTCTGATAAGTAAGGTGAAAATTGAGACATAGTTAATACCTCTATATCATCGAAATTTATTTCTGACATTTTGTCTCAAAAAAAAAAAAAGCCTACCTACCTACTCACACCTAAAATGACGAGGCGCGTTACCGCAAAAAATAAATTTTTAAAGGATGGCCTTACTATGACTTTTATTCGGGTATTGTATATAAAACAAGAGGCCCAGGGGCCACATCCCTCACCTAAGCAATTGGCTAGGAAAAAGCACACATCAGATCAGAACTGAAAGTTTACTAAGGGGGGGGGGGGGGGGGCTTGAATTTTAACCCCCAGGGGGTCATGATTTGAACAAACTTGAATCTACACTACCTGAGGATGATTCCCTATAAATATTACTAAGCATGGCTTTAATTTACTTGAAAAGAAGATTTTAAAAGGTTTCCCTAGATATTCCTATGTAAAACTTTTATCGGCCATTTGGCCCCACCCTACCGCCGGGGTCATGATTTGAACAAACTTGAATCTACACTACCTGGGGATGATTCCACAGGAGTTTCATCTTTCCTGTCTCAATAGTTCTTGAGAAGAAGATTTTTCCTATATATTCCTATGTAAAACTTTGATCGGCCATTTTGGCCCCACCCTACCCCCGGGGGTCATGATTTGAACAAAATTGAATCTACACTACCTGAGGATGATTCCACAAGAGTTTCATCTTTCCTGGCCCAGTGGTTCTTGAGAAGAAGATTTTAAAAGATTTTTCCTATATATTGCTATGTAAAACTTTGATCGGCCATTTTGGCCCCACCCTACCTCCAGGGGTCATGATATGAACAAATTTGAATCTACACTACCTGAGGACGATTCCATATGAGTTTCATCTTTCCTGGT